TTAAGGTTTTAACCGTACTACTACTTTTATACATACCGCTTATCGGTCCGGTCTTTTAACGGTACTCTTATCGGTCCTTTTAACGGTACTCTTATCGGTCTTTTAACGGTACTCTTATCGGTTCTTTTAACGGTACTCTTACCGGTCTTTTAACGGTACTCTTATCGGTTCTTTTGGGGGAAAAAAATAAGGTAAACTAACTAAACAAATTGTGAACAAAACTAACATTGCTTTTTATATAAATTAAATAAATAATATTTCACACCAAAAGAAACAACAATGCTTTAACAAATCGTATTAAATAATCTGATGACAGAATAGCTGAAACTTTAACAAAATAAATAACTCAGTTACCTCTAATCATTAACCCATGTTTGTATAATGTAGTTAACTCTGTGTGTTGCTGCTAGCATACATAACACCTGACGTGGAAAAGTTACTCGTGGATGGGGCTACAGCGCTGCTAGAAGCCGTAGCATTCCTCCGTCTGAATGTGGAGCACTTTTGCTAAATGTTTAGACAAATTGCTCGTGTTACCGCCCTTACATGCTAAACACTCTTGGCAAGGAGCATTGTCCACCTCAAGACGGGTAACATTTAACCACACCTCGGAGCGCTTCTCTCCGCCATCTCCTCCGTGTGTGTGTGTGTTGCTGTGTGTAGCAGCTGCGTGTGTGTAAACTGCCCCGCCCCCTCGCACACAGGCGGGAGAGAGAGATCTCTCGACTGGATTGGAAAGATCGAAAATACTAAAAATAATCATAGACGCATTTTTCAGTCTTTTTGCGTATTAGAAACGGAGTTGGCGACACTAAAACTGCAATATAATGTTTGTGTAGCAATAATACATATACTTTTTACATGTCTCCAGTACCGATAAAATAGACCGATAACGTCGTAGCTTAACGGTACCACGGTCTTTAATAATTCAGCCCCGGGGCCCGTTTTTGTCAACCACAGACCTTATTTCGAGCTATTTTCCAAAATCCTATGGAGAAATTGCATTGTTTTTTTTCAAAGGAACCGGAAGTGGTCAAATGCTATACCTTCAGCAATATTTAAAATGTAAGGCAGACCTTTTTTTTTTGAGGTGAAAATGCTAAACATTTTGTCTAGTTATTACATATTGTGGTGTAATATATTAGTGTGTTGATACAGCGGTTATGATGTCTCACCGCCATGAACTGCACGTCCTGGAAGAGTTCCTGTATGAAGCGTCTGGAGGTCAGGCGGAACATGCAGTGGGCTAACAGGTTAGAAACCTCGGAGTACAGGCAGATGTCGTCAAACGCGTAGGGGAACTTCTCCTTTATCCTGCAGGAGAACAAAGGGTATACACGTGTTAAAAAAAAAACACAATTTGCAAAAAAAATACATTTTGCAAATGAACATGCATCTCAGAAAATGTTAAATAGAGCTGCTGTATTTCTTTGAGTTTTTCACTGACAAAACAAGACATTTAAAGACATCAACTTGGATTTCGAGAAACTAGGATGGACATTTACTATTTCCTGACATTTTATACACCAAACAATGAATGGATTCACATGTGGAAAATGGGCAGATCAATTGATAACAAAAATAACCAAGTCGTAGCAATAAAAAGGAGAGAGAGCCGTACGTCAGTAGTCCTGTTTCGTGGCCTTTGGTCCCTACAGAGGAGCTGAGGTTGATGATGAGGCGGAGCACCTCCTTCCTCAGCAGGACTCGGGAGGCGGGGCCGTCTTCTGATATCGACTTGCTGCCTACATGACACATAATGAAGAAATATTCAATATTTACCACGAAAATGTTTTTTTATTTATGGTAAGGTATAGAAACCCCCCCCGCTCTGCAGGTTGTGTTCACTTACTCGTAGTCTTCCCTATGACGATGTCCGCGGGGATGGGCGTGCTGCAGACGGACCCCTGGGACACGGCGGCGTCGCTGCAGCCCGACACGCCGGATAACTTGGACTGAGGCATGACCTCCAGGCGATGGCCGCTCTGCGCTCCCCACGGCTGGAAATCCACAAATTCTGGAACAAAGAAAGGTCCTGTTATATTCTGCACTGAGTTTAATCTTAACGACTGAATGTGTGTGTGTGTGCTGACCTGTGCGGGGGTGTGTGTTGTTGATGGGCGGCCGAGTGGGGTATCCGAGCACGCTGGACCCCACGCAGTAGAGGCAGTTCTCCTCGGTGTGCTCCTGCAGGCCCGTCTCGTCCAAACCCACCGTGTGGGTCTGGCTGTCGCCGCGGCACACGATCAGCTCGGAGATACTGAACTGCTGCTTCAGGGAGGGGAGGGGGGGGCGGTCTCCTGCACACAGAGGAACTCAGTTAGCTAAAAAATCTACACTTTTCTTTATTTGTTATTTTAAAATATTGTGAAATCATTTTATCCATTGCAGTTTTGCATGATTATATAACAACATAAGTCAAACATAAATAATAATAATATATAATAATAATAATAATTGGGAGAGAGTTCTAGTGATGGAGCCAACACCTGGAAGGCACGGTCACCTTTCTTTTCTTTTTTTAACAAATCAGATTCATGGCAAATAAAAAAAATAAAAATCATATAATACCATAGGACGCAGTAAAACATAAAAAGTAAAATAATAAATATATATAAAATAAATAAATGAAAATATATATAAAATAAATAAATATATATATATATATAAATAAATATATCTCCACTTCATGGTTAGAAGGATTGGTAACTTGGAATTATCTTTGCAATAATAGCCTCATTATAGGACTCCATAATTAGAATACTATAGTTTTTATAATAGTTATATTTTGAACTATTATAGTTCTATAGTATGTGTATAAGTCCTGTTCTTCTTTCTGTGTCTTTGTCTGCACCATTTACACCAAAGCAAATTCCTCCTATGTGTAAATCTGATGATATCAACTTTCTGATTGTAACCTTAAAGGTGAAGTTATTTGCTTCATCTCATTAAGGGGTACTAACGGAACTAAACGGGAAAAGTACTCCGGTGTGAACGTGCCTATAGATAACAACCATCAGTTTCAGAATATTTTTGTTCTTAATTTTGGGATTTAAATATCATTTAATCAGGCCTCAAGTTGAATGTACCGTCTCCATCTCCAAAGAGGAAGCTTTTGCGCTCCTCCGACGGGGGGCTGATCCTCTGCTGAAAGTAGGCCGAGTCTCTGATGTGGAACATGTCGTTGATGTCCATGGGCAGAGCCAGGCCCACGTAGTCGTCGCTGCACCCGTAGGTGGCGCTGGAGACCATGGAGCGCACTGAGGAGCAGCGGTGCAGAGTGCTTTGGTTGATGGGACTGAGGAGCTCCTCTTTATCCAGAGAGGCAAAGCTGAGCGCCTTCAGGAACCTAGGGAGGGCAAGAGGAGAGGAGCGTGAGAGGGTCCGGGGGGAGAGACTGGGACAGAACGAGGAACACGAGGAGTAAGTGAAAGAAATGTTGGATGAAAGCAAAGAGACGGACTTTAGTGAACACAGAAAGAAGGGTTGGCGATGGGACTCTAAAGAAAGCTATCAGGGCGGCAGCTGAAATCACAGAACACGTGTTCATCCAAAGAGCGATGACACTGCATCATAGCTGTTTCTAATATCTACTTGCAACAATTTAAAATATAATAAAGCACCCAAGGATGAAAAGTCTGAAGTTTCACAAATTCAAAAACTACCTATTATATTAATTAAGGGAAAGGTTTATTAGAGTAGACAAAATAACCTGAACCTAAAAGTTGATATAACTATTTTTCTAATATCGGCCAATGAAAGTATACCGTTTGATAAAGTCTGTGTTGTTTTGAATCAATTCAAATACATTGTATTAGCCACAATTTTCTCAGTTTATTTATCTTTCAAGAAAAGTCAAGCTTCTTAAATATTTGCCGCAACAATGTTCTATATTATCACTATTCCTTTGCAAGGACAAAACATTCATAGTTTTACCAATTCAATTGATTCAATGTTTGATTTAATTTCTATAGAAGGAAATAAACACTGTGCAGGATTGTTTTTATAATCAATCAATTATTACACTATAATACTTAACATGCCAACACAGTGTTATGACTTACAAACAGTGTAACCGTATGCATATTATAACACCTCTCTCTACCTGTGTGCTGTTCTCTATGAAGCTCTATGAGGGGGGAACCACTAGTGACTCTACATGGGGCTTGTTCACTCTGCACACACTACAGGAGTCAAAACGGACATATCTGATTGGGTCACTTCTAGAAGCTACGGCTCTACTAAGGAGGACACTGGGTCGCTCCACCCACCGCGGGGCAAGTGTCCTGGACAGCCTGCGGTATGGACTTATGACGGGGGGCTCTGGACAGGTACCCCTCCTGTCTGATATCCTGACAGACATAGAAGGTGCACAAAGAACACACAGACACACAAATGGAAATGTTTCACACTTTCTACGAAGACCACAGCTATATGACATCATGTTGGCATTCATAGCGGATTACAATGCATTTATAAAGCTTTATTCACTACACTCAAGATGCACTTTTATACCGGTCATAAAAGGTTTTAGATGTTGCTGAAAATAAATTAAAGGCGCATTATAAATGCTTTTGATACGTTGTAAACTACAGGCTGACTTATAATACATCATGACTTTACTGTTTAAGTGCTATGGTACACACAGTATCATAAGTTAGAAGAAATAGTAGATAGATTATTGAGTCAAATTATTCTTTTTGTGTTGATATCATGCATCAGAAAGCATGAGTTGTTCATGAGTGAAGTCAAGCAGCATCATAAATCCATTATAATCCACTGTGAATGCCCTCATAATGCAGTATAGATGCAGTCTTCATAGAAAAAGTGTGACTTATTGTTTCTCTTTGATGAGGAAACACATTTTATTTTTGAGTTAATGCAACAACAACCATCATTCAGAAAAAAGGAATAACTGCAGAACCTTTTCTATGGATGCTTTCTGTCATATTGGCCATGACAGCTGCCTTACCTGCGAGGCGTTAACCTGGAGTCCAGGCTGCCGGTCTTCATGGTGATGGTGTCGGTGAACAGCACGTCTTTGGCGGGTGAAGCCAGCGCCTCACTGTGAGACAGAGACGGCTGGATCCTCTGCTGCTGCAGCCTCTTCAGCGTGGCGTAGCCCAGGGCGTCCCGCGGGCTGGTGTACATGAAGCTGCAGTCGGCCAGGTTCTTCATGGTGTTTAGGGAAGGAGACTTGAGGGACTGGGCTCTGCGGGGGAGAGTGTGGGAGGAGCCAGGCGGTACCAGAGAGGCGGTGGCGGACTTGGAAGTGGACATGTGGTTGGTCTCAGCCTGGGGGGTGAGGGAGGAGAGCGTTTTGACAGTCTTGGCCGACACCACAGTGTTGAGGCTCACGCAGTCAGAGGAGTCAGGTTCTGGTTCGGGATTATCGGGGTTTCCCACGGTCTCCCTGGAGGGGCTGGAGCTCATGGAGCTGATGCCGCTGGTGGTGGTGTCCGTGTTAAAGCTCTGACTGCGGCTTTTAAACTGAGTACCCCCGACGCCCCCTCCCACGTTTCCTCCACTCAACGAGGAGCCGCCGTCCCCTGCTAGACGCTCCCGGCTGCTCTGCTCCCTCTCTCGGCTGGGCTGCTCCCCCGCACCATGCCCTGCGAGGCCACTCAACCCGAGGGAGGAGCCCCCTACCCTGGCCAGCCCGCCCTCTACGAGCTGCTCCTCAGAGCCCCCCCTCGTCCCGACAAAGGACGTCTCCAGGCTGACCGTGGGACTCTTGGGCATTCCTCTGCCGTTAAAAACAGGGGTGAAGACGTCTTGGTTGGGGCTGTAGATAGAAGGCTCCGTCACCGTCCTGTTCCGCTTCATGCTGCCCATCTTGAGTTCAGTGGGGGTACGAGAGCCTGAGGGGATCTTGGGGTCGCTGGTGGAGCGCAGCTTCTTGCTCGGGAGGGACAGGGAGTTGAGGAAGCGAGTGCGGACGAAGCGGGTGGAGGCCAGGATGGTGAAGGGGCTGCGGTCCTTCGCTGGTTTGGAGTGTAGAAAGTAAGAGGGCTCGTCTGAGGGGTCCAGGACATCACACTTGTCGTCGTCAAGGATGTACATGTCTGAGAGACAAGGAGGGAAGAACACGATGGGAACATTAGAAGGCTATATATACCGTAATATATAACACATAAGAACTCACTGCTACATAGTTTGAGTTTCTCCTTCTGATAACCATGAACAATTTGCAATCAGTGTTTCCCACAGAAATTGATTCTATTTGTGGGGGCACCGCGCACCCCCCCCCAGCGTTCTTGTTGCTCTGTGTTGCGTTGTTAATGAGCCACCAAAAAAATAAAAAAAATAATACAACATAATTTTTTTTTTTTCTTCATGAATCCATGTTGGGCGGCGATATATTGTGCGCCCGCCACAAAGAAACAATGTACCGGAAACACTGTGCATGCTGCTATATCAGTAAATGTCGTGCTCCCCTGTATCCACAACATTTTAATCCAGAATTGTAATGGTTAATAATTTTAAACATTTTTTTACTTGTATTAATTTTTTTCATCCTGTCACTCTAAGTATTTGTATTTTAATGTTGAACACACACTGCTTCTGAAACAAAATAATTTCTCAAATTGGGATCAATAAAGTATATCCATCTATCCATCTATCCACCCATCTATCTATCTATCCATCTATCCACCCATCTATCCACCCATCTATCTATCTATCCATCTATCCACCCATCTATCTATCTATCCATCTATCCACCCATCTATCCACCCATCTATCTATCTATCCACCCATCTATCTATCTATCTATCTATCCATCTATCCATCAATCCATCTATCCACCCATCTATCTATCCATCTATCCATCCATCCATCTATCTATCTATCTATCTATCTATCTATCCATCCATCTATCTATCTATCTAATGGCCAGGGAACAAACAAAACGTATAGAAATGGAACCTTTATATCCCTTATGTATCAATAATGTTTCCACTGTAGTAGAGCTGACTGTCTTCAAATGCTGCTAATAAAGTAAAGCGAATCCTACGTACTTGGTTGAGACTCGCTCTCGCTGTTGTGGCGCGAGCTGGTGGACTCAGAGTTCAGACTGAGCGTGCTCGGGACTGAGGAGAGTTCAGAGGTCAGCTGTGCGTCGACCTCTTCTGGAGTGACCGGCCACTGCGTCCTGCGGCTGTGTCTGACTGCGTCCCAGCCGTACTGCTTCAGCACCTCACAGCCCTGCCGGGTCTTGGAGATGACCCCCAGCACATACACACACGTTCTGTGAAGGAGTGAGAGGATGGCTAGTGAACACACTGATTGTACAAATGTGTTGACCAATAACATACTTTCAATCATAAGTACCATAGCATGATTTGTGTTGTAGGAGATGTAGGTGAATAAAAGAAAAACACCCCACTTCTGTAAAAGTGGTGAGGTCAAAATACTACATTTACAATAGTTTTGGAAAGTAAAACATGTGTGTAAGACTGAGGGACCAGAGTGGTTCCCACACGACTTGTGGGATAGCAAAGATGGAACGAAAATAGTAGAAAACTCTTAAATCATGGCTGAAAAATGAATGGGCCATTTCTTAAGGATAAGAATAGGTGAAATATTCAAATTGGAGAAAGCACACTAATTATTTAAGGCCAGATTCATTATTGTGGGACAGTAGAAATGCCCCAGTATTAGGGCTGCACGATATATCGTGTGGTGACGATAATCGCGATATTCACATCGTGACGTGACGATTTTTTAAATCCTTCATTTTTTTTTTAGGACTTGCGATATTAAGTAGGCAAATTAACTCAAACACGTCATGTTACAATTATTTTGCTGCTTGCTACAAAAGGAAAACTTGCGCGGCTCTCATGTCAGGGGTACTGGGTACAGGGTCTGCATGCGCAGCAAACCACCAATCACAATCAACTCTCCAAAGCAAACGGACCCGGTGATTGAAGGTAAAAACACTGAATACATTTGATAACTTAAGATCCAGACGTCCCTGACTAAAATCCTTCATCCGGTTAAATATAGTTACAAAAATACCAATTGTATACCATTAAAGTTCAAGAAAGGATGGTTTGCGGGAAAAAAAACGGTCTTTTCTTCAATTCCTGTATGTTTTCATATCGCAATATATATCGCAGGGGGGTAAAAAATCGCAATGCCAGTTTTTTCCAATATTGTGCAGCCCTACCCAGCATACAAATCATATTCTACAGACTTTTAACAAAAAATATTCCACCCACCCTGGCCTTTTACAGGGTATATGCAGGAATCCGTGGAAGTCAAATTTAAGACCTTTTAAGACCGTTTTTAGACCCTTCCATACTCGTTAGACCTCATCGCAATCTTATTGAGTTCTAACCGTACATTGGCAACGACACTTATCACGATTTCACATATAACTGATTGTAAGATAGCAAGAACTAAACAGAGGCAGACAGATACCTCCCAGCCTCTCCTGCACCATGAACTTCACCTCTCTGTGAGGTCCGGTGCCTCGCACCGCGAGCCTGCTGCTTTGTGGCTCTGTAATCGGCTGCTCTTTCATTCCAGTAAACCCCAGAAACATTAGAAAACCAGTATCTGACCAATAGCAAAACATATGACCACTTCGCCGATCCCGTAAACCTAAATAGATGCAGCTTCAACGGGGATATGCCCATAAATAGAAAAAGAGGCTCCCTCACAAAACAAACAGGGTAAAATAGAAGGACAAGCAAAGCGCTAGTCCAGAAGGCTAAAAGCCACATGGCACAAATAAGAACGATGCAAACACACAGACATCAAACTCAACACAAAATTTGGAGTAACATTTGTTACTACAAAAGAAGAATATAATATATTAAAAGACTATTTCTCGTTCATATAGAAATAAACATATTAAAAATAGGGATACATGATAAGAAACTTATACCCTAAAATAGCAATCACTCGTGAGAGAAATAGGAATGAGACTTAAGACTAAAAAACCGGACCACACACCGGTAAAACGCATACGCAACGCAAAAGGCACGTTCCGGAAGTATTCGGACATATAATGGTCGTTCACACTAGACCCGTACAAATGCTGGAAACGACATGTAGTACATACTGTCAGCGCCTGTAAGCTGCGCTGCTGCCGCCCGAAATACCAAAAGACACGAAGAAGACCCCAGAGCATGGTGCCCTGGTTTAGGGCCCTCAGTTAATTCCCGCGGTGGCGACGGCCTGTTCCCTGCTGTACTCTCAGCGCTAATCCGGCAGATGAAAACACCCACCTCTCGCCTCTTCCAAGGAACGAGGGGCCGTCGCAGTTTCCGTAAAAAAATGTTCCGCCGGTCAACATGTCCGTTAAAGTTTAAATCGTCCGTACAAAATTAGGAAAGGGTGCCGGTCAGAGGTCTTCTTTGGTATTTGATTGAGCTTAAAACAAATGATAACGACTCTGTCTCTGTATAATATATAATAATATTAATACGTGACTGCCTCTCCTTTTCCTCCCCCTCTTCGACAGCCCATCAGCAGCAGGGAGACAGTGGGAGAGGGAGGCGCGGGCCTCTTCATCGTTATCAGAAAATGAATCATATAGGGAACCACCGAGCCGTTGGACCCCAGAGCGTGTGCGTATGCCGGGAATCTTACCTCATGTAAATAACACAGAGTGACCACAAACAGCAACACTTTATATATCTGCAGCTAATGGAGTTTCAGTTTCATCCCACAGGCCATGAGACTGTTGAACGTTTGAAAGAACATCCGTAACATTCCATCTGTTTGCAACTCATTTATATATCAATATTCCAGTTACTTGTATATAGACTAGGGCTGCACGATATATCGTGTGGTGACGATAATCGCGATATGCGCATGCGCGATATTCACATCGTGACGTGACGATTTTTTAAATCCTTCATTTAAAAAAAATTAGGACTTGCGATATTAAGTAGGCAAATTAACTCAAACACATCATGTTACAATTATTTTGCTGCAGGGGGGGGTAAAAAATCGCAATGCCAGTTTTTTCCAATATTGTGCAGCCCTACCCAGCATACAAATCATATTCTACAGACTTTTAACAAAAAATATCCACTCACCATGGTCCTTTTAATATTTTATTTCAAATAAAAGATATCAATTATAAAAAAATTATCATTTACTCATGAATTATATTGCATACGGATCAGTCCTACTTGGAACACTTTTATAGTGTTTAATGACTGGTGGCTTGCTGATCTGTAACGTCATAAGAAATCTCATTTCATTTTTTTGCATTTACTCATCACTGTTTTGAATTATATTCACCACCAAAGTCTATTACGTGTTTAAATTCCAAGAGAACATTTGTTTCTTTCTTTATAACTGTGCCCGGTGTGAGGCCCATACATGCTACACTGTAAACGCTTACCCTCGTACTGACAGTACATCACAGTTCTGAGCCAACGAGAGGATGTCAGGAATGACGTTCTCCTCCTGCAGGAGATTCAGACCCCAGTTTGAAGAGCCAATGTTGCCCTGCATGGAAAACAACACACACCATTACAGCCATGTCTTTGCAACTAGCCTTTTCATTATTATTATTATTATTATTATAGCAACACAGTAACTGAAGTGACATGAAGTGACACTGACCAGAGCCCAGAGAGCGGCCTTCAGCTGTTTGATGCCCTCCCAGGTGTCCAGCATCGGGGAGCGAACAGTGTAGCTGAGGTCAGGAACCACACTCTGGAGAAAAACCAAAATAGACGTTAAGAAGAAAGGCAGCTAAATCTGCATAATCCCCAGAGAAATCAATGTATAAATGAAGCACTTATAAAAAGAACAGAGTGTGCGGTGGAACAAGTGAGAAATACCTGAGCCTCCAATAGATGGCAGCCTGTCTTATCGTGGACCAGCTGACCATACAAGTGCACAGGAAGATAGACATTTGGTCTTTGTAACCTGGAGACACAAACAGAGAAGTTTAAAAAGAAGTTAAGCACGAAAGGGTATCCTTTGCATTGCCAGGTGATAATAAACTCCAGCTTCTCACCTTTGGTTGCTGCGTCTGACGTAGTTGTCTCCATCTACAGGTTTGCGGTAGGTTGTAAGTGCTTCGTTGAGCTGCTCCTCTATTAGGTCCACGTACTTTAGGTTGTATTCCTGCAAACAAACACGCATTTATTTCAAATAGCAAACCTCTGTTAGTGTGTGGTCTTCATATATTATAGTAGCCAATGCAATTTAAACGTGGTTTGCACAATTCAAGGCCAATATCGTGATCATACCTTCTGCCATTTGTCCAGCTGTTTGCTGACGTACCCCCTCTCATTGAGGTAGGAGAAACCTTTAGGAATGGACAGGAACCTAAAACAGCAGAAAAACAAGATGTTCAGTGTGTTTCAGAAGGCTGCTGGACTACATCCATGTGTGGCAAGCAGTGCTGTTGTAATGACCTGAGGAGCAGCAGGAGGCCCTTGTCTCCCAGGTGGGACAGAGCTGGTTTCAGCTGGATCAGAGCGTGGAGGTTGGCCTGAGAAGCAGCACAACAGACAGTCAGACAACAGTAAAGAGGAGAATCAAATGCTACTGTCCGAAAAACACCATCAACTCAATCTAATTGCATTTCAACATATCAAGAATAACATATATCCAGGAATTATTCATTATTATTCTGTTATTTATGAAATCCTGAGGGTGATCCATGTTCTTAGCATGATCTAAACTGTTTTATTTCCTTTGCTATTGACTTAAGAACAACAAGCACACATATTTGTTTCTATTTTTCGTCAGGGAAAAATATTTTAAATAGTCAATCAGGATCATTACTAATTGCAACCACAAGATGATACCATTTCTAAATAGAAGAAAAAGCATGTATGTTTTCTTCTAGGTGAATTTGAATGTATCATGTTTAAGTATGTGGTCGTTATTGTTCACTGTAATAGTGAGGGAAGAATGCATCCTAATCTGACAAACAGATCCTTTGTTCTACTTCTCTGACGGTCTTCTGTGTTTGACAGCAGTCACCTTGTCCTCGCAGGCCTCGTCCAGGATGTCCAGAGCCTCCATGGACACAGCCTTGCTGTGGTCGTGGAGCTGTGTGACCAGCAGCTCCATGCCCCAGCTGCTGAAGAACTCCACGCTCGCACGTAGCAGCACACGGAGGTGTTTGGTGGCATACAACCTGCACACCTGCTCAACAAGGAAGGGAGAATTGTGGGAGAAAGAGTGGAAATGAGGATATTACTATCAGAGCCTATATGTGTTGGGAACAAATGAGCAAAGCATGGTAAGTGTAATACTTTGTATCTATTACGGTACGTCCACACAGCAGCTTTAAAAAAATCTTCCAACGCTTCTCTGCCCATTGACTTTGAATGGGGGTGACATCACTTTGCCTCGCTTTTCGCCGAACTGCATTGTGGGGAAGCAATGCGAAGATTTCCAGGATTCAAAAGTTGAGCAATGTTCAACTTTTGAAGCTGAGCTGGAAGCGTCAGCCAATCAAATCCCGTTTATGCAAATCTGACAGTACACGCGCTAGCTAATCAAACCACGTGTAAGTTCATTTCCTCATATTCCAAACGAGAAATTACGGTAGCAAATCACCCGGTTCTTTACGACCAGAACTATTTACCGGGATACAAACCGGAGGAACCAGGCATGGAGGGAGGTGGCAGAGACAGTGGGTGAAACTGGTAGGTTTTCGCCTGTTTGGGGAGTTTATATCCAGTTTACTTCGTTTTAACATTGCTATTGCTTTGTATGTCGGGGCGGGAGGTTCATGTGATTGGTTGTTGGTCTGCAAAAAATCCCCAAGCTTTCAGACAACTAAGGAGTACCCCTTAGCCTGCTCCAGTCTCTTCACACGAAAATGTGTTTGTTTATTTGAGTGAAACGGAAACATGGAAAATAGTAATAAATTGGACGGGGAAACCACCGCAAGCCAGAAAAAGAGAAAGAGAGGGAGCAAGGTTGGTCTTTGCCGGTCCCCCATTGGACCTCCTGGACCACTTCCCTGTACCACAGGTACGAACAGGGAGCAGGAGTCCCGACTTCGGGGACTCGCACCGAAACAGGACGTCTCATTGCCGGCGGTGGTGTGAGTGGTTTGTGAAATGAGGAGTAAGGACCCCCTGTGAGAGACGGAGTGGGGTCCCTCAGTTTGCGACCTCTCTTTACACCGGACAAAGTCACCCACTTCACGTTGCACCCTGTATCTTACCTTCTGAAATGTCTCTTACAGGATAACTACGTACTTTGTAACTGGTTGTAGAAAAAATAAAATAAACCGTCGGGCCGGGACTTTAGACAACGAGACAACTTCTTGGTCACTACGACACGACCTTTGCCGATATAAGTGATGTCGACCGTGTGGTCGTCCCCTGCCAGACCGGTCTCACTCAGGGAGAGGTTCTGGGAATGGAACGCAGCTGACCTAACATTCCTTCGGAGGTCTTTGTCCTCGCAACTCATGTTCATTTTTTGGACGTATTCCGTCGACAATCCTTTTGTCCGTGTTCACAAGACTTCAACCGTATAGATGGGGTTCTAACTTTCGTTGTAATCCTCATCTGGGAGTAACTTTTCAGTATTATCCTCCATGAGGCTAACAGACGTATTAAAGGTTAACATTAACCAAGAAAAATATCTTAGTAATTTTAACCTGGTTTTCATAAGTTTTCTTAATGTTGTAAATTTTCAAACCAGAGATAAACCGGGAACGTCCACAATCGTTTACCGTTGAAATACAAAAGGAATGGAAGTGTGACTTTCCCTTTGAAGTCGTGGACTAGCATACTACGCAACACGGACCGACTCTAATGACCAGAAACAGCCACCACCAAGTCACAAATTTATATGGGCATTGTTTTGCCTAGTGTATCGTCTGACCCCAAAGGAAGGGCGACTCGGGTAACTACGACGAGATTGCGGAGCAGGGGTCGGCTGAAAACTTTTTTAGAACTTTTAG